ATCTCACAATATTTTTTAAAATTTAATTAATAATTAATAAAATCTATCATATTTCATTTATAATACTTTAAAAAATAAGTGATCGAATACTAAAATAACTTTCAATTACAGCTACAATATAATTCAACACAACCACAACACTCCCAAACACACCCTTAATCTCCAAACTTATATTTTAAACTTTATTTATAAAACAATACTTATTTATTAATAAATTTAACTTTAAATTTCAATGGATTCTTTATTTTGTATTCTTCATTAGTCAACAACAGATTTAGAAGCAATCAACTAAAAATGCATCGGCTGAGTAACAACAGAATCTAAGCTAAAAGCACAAAAAAATAGATTCCAACTACCTATTGATCTGAGTTTTCCTTCGAGTAAAATCTCAAATTCGAATCTCATAAATAGAAAAATAAAACTTCCCCCTAATGGAATCCTCCCTTACATCAATTCATCTGAGTTGAAGCAGAGGAATTTTTGATCCCTTAATATATTTTGTTATGCCAATGTCTCAATTACATAAGACCTTGAATAACAACAACGGAGACATCTGTCTGGTTCCAGATAAAATGAGCCATAAATCAATTGTCATTAGTCACAATTAAGGCAAAAACCACCAGCAAATCAATGGATAAGCAGCTAGAGGTATGGGTCATGTATTTGCTTACACCTATACTTCAACAGCTATAAGTATAAGATTTTGATATTCAATACTTGCATATTGAAAATCTAAATCTATTACCCAACTTGCTGGGTAGAGAGATACTTGTACATTTGTTATTATAACCTTTAATACAGATTATAAACACATACTTCAAAACATATATGGTACTTATACATATGTACATAAAGAAATACTTGAGTTCATACTGATAATAAAACACATAAGTTGAAACACAAAAACAAATTCATACATACAACAAAATATGCAAGCACATATATATACTTGCATATATACAAGTTTATACATATAACAAAATACATACAAACACAACTCTATAAAATCTTCCTTCATTAGAATCTTTCTTGTAGGATAAAAAATAAACATTCTCGTTTCATGACATTATATTGCAAAATTAAGTATGAAACTAGAATAT